CATATTGTTTTAAAAAAATGTGGTATTAATTTAAATGTTTGAACACATGGGATATTTTTTTAAATATGAATTTCTTATTTAATTCTTAAATAATTACCACTGAAAATTTTCTATTTTACAAAAAGTCAACTTTGTACCATTTTTATATGATTCCAGTATAGAAATAAACTTATACCCTTTATTTTTAATTTGATATTTTAGCTAAGAATGAAATTTCTAGTCCAATACAAGGCACTGATGAAGAGAGGTGTAAAAGGTCTGGACCATTTTGTAGTGGAGATAGCACTTGGGATATTCCCAAAGTACCTCGATTAAAAATTGTAAAACGTCCTACTGATGCTTGTACAGGTACTAGAACTAAAAACAAGAAAGAAATAGTTATTGACCATATTAGCAATATAAATAAATTTTTATTGCAATTTAAAACATTACATGCGTTTTATTATAAATGAAAAGAATATTATATTGTTTTTATGGACTTTGGTATAAATATAAATTTTTAAACACATAGGATAATTTTTTAAATATGAAATTCTTAATTAATTGTTAAATTATCACCACAGGAAAGTTTCAGTATTTAAAAAATAAAACTTTGTACCATTTTTATATGATACCAGTATAGAAATAAACTTATACAGTTTCTTTTTTATTTGATATTTTAGCTAAGAATGAAATTTCTAGTCCAATACAAGGCACTGATGAAGAGAAGTGTGAAGGTTCTGGACCATTTTGTATAGAAGATAGACCTGGAAATTTTTCAAAAGTAGTTTGGTTAAAAATTGTGATACGTCCTACTGATGCTTGTACAGGTACTTGAAATAAAAACAAGAAAATAATAGTTTTGAGGATATTAAAAATATTAATAAATTTTTATTGCAATTCAAAACATTACATGCGTTTTATTATAAATGTAAAGAATATTATATTGTTTTTATGAAATGTGGTATAAATATAAATTTTTAAACACATGGGATATTTTTTTTAATATGAATTTCTTATTTAATTTTTAAATAATTACCACCGAAAATTTTCTATTTTAAAAAAATTCAACTTTGTACCATTTTTATATGATACCAGTATAGAAATAAACTTATACTGTTTATTTTTTATTTGATATTTTTGCTAAGAATGAAATTTCTAGTCCAATACAAGGCGCTGATGAAGAGAAGTGTAAAGGTTCTGGACCATTTTGTAGAGAAGATAGCCCTGGGGATTTTCACAAAATACCTCGGTTAAAAATTGTGAATCGTTTTACTGATGCTAAAACAGGTACTAGAACTAAAAACAAGAAAAGAATAGTTTTGACCATATTAAAAATATTAATAAATTTTTATTGCAATCCAAAACATTACATATGTTTTATTATAATTGAAAAGAATACAATATTGTTTTAAAAAAAATTTTAATATAAATTTTTAAACACATAGGATAATATTTTAAATAGGAAATTCTTAATTAATTTTCAAATTATCACCACAGGAAAATTTCAGTATTTAAAAAATAAAACTTTGTACTATTTTTATATGTTTATAACTTATACTGTTTTTATTTATTTAATATTTTGAGAAGAATAAAGTTTCTAGTCCAAAACAATGCACTGGCGAAGAGAAGTGTGAAGGTTCTGGACCGTTTTGTTGTGGTATTATAGCCCTTGAAATGTGGCTAATGTACATCGGTTAATAATTGTGATACGTCCTACTGATGCTAATACAGGTACTAGAACTAAAAACAAGAAAAGAATGGTTTTCGACCAAATCAACAATATTAAATCATTTTTATTGCAATTAAACAAGTCAGTATGTTCTATTATATATGATAATCATATTTTAATGTTATTAGGAAAAGTGGTGTTAATATAAATGCTTAAACACATGTGATATTTTAAAATAAGGAAATTCATAATTAATTTTTAAATCATTACCCCAGAAAATTTACTATATTTTAAGAATAAAACTTTGTATGAACACATTATGTGGGTCCTTATATTATTTAATACAAGAATATAAAAAAAATGCTACTTGTTTGTTATCGCCTGCTATAAATCTTATATATAAAAATATCGTGTCACAATGTTCGTTCCCATACTCCTCCGAGCCCAGGGCTGACGCGACTGTGCTTATACGATTTATTTAATGACGGAACTTCGCCGACGTCTGCTGGTGGAAGAAGATGAAGATAGATAGTAAAAATGGTTAGAAATTAATACAATTAAAAACTTTATTTGGTATAACTCATATAATGTAGAAACAAATAAAAATGGACCAGAGGTTCCTCCGCAAGGGTATGAACGTGGACCGACTTATCGTGTACCTTATTTTCTGAAAGGAAATAAGATTTTAATAATTTAGAGAAATATTTTTTTTGATTTTTCAAATGGTTTTCCTAATACCTGGGAAAAACTGAGATAAATGTCGAAAAAACGGAAAATGTACGAACTGTAGATATTAGTAAAAAAATATTATGGCCTTTTTTTTTTTTTTTACATTTTTTCTACCAGTAATTTCATTCCGATTTTAAATGATAGCACTTTTTTTGAACGAAAATCTGACTAAGAAGGTACTTTAAAGAGTTAATTTTTTATTTTCCTAGGAGTTTCTCAAATAAATAGGAAAAATCGGGAAAAAACATGGGAAAATCGATAAAATTGTAAAAAAAATATTATTTAAGAAAAAAATCATTGCCTTTTTAATTATTTTACCATAATATAACATATTGTTGAGTCTAACGATTGTATACCAAATAAAAATGTCATAAAAAAAATTAAAAATTATTAAAACATTTTTAAGTTGCTCAAAAATGGCATATATGTTTTGAAAATTTACTACATTTAGAAAAGGAAAATATAAATTTTTGTCTATATTTCAAGTCACTACGAATATTTCTATCTGAATTACAACAAAACACAAAATCAATAATAATAAAAACATTATTTTCGTAAATTTTCCCGGTTTCCCAAATCTATGAAAACCGCTTGGAAACTTAAAAATAACCACCCTAAAATAACAACAAGTTCAAATTTTCTTTCAGAAATAGGTGCTTGAAAATCGGAGCAAGATTTCCGGTAGAAATTTTGTAGATAATATAAAAAAATAAACATTGTATAAATGTAAATGGGGCGAATGGCTCATAAATTTGAGGAAAGACCCTCAGTTACTTCTCCAAAATTGGTACAAAGTATGTGTTTGGGTAAGGAGGGGGAGTACAATATATGAAATATTATAATATTATAATATATAGATACGATAGTAAATTTAGGAATTATAATACGCTGTAGCCTATAATAATATGTTGCAACTAAAAATCATGCAATAATATAATCGTATATCTAAACATTATTGAAAAAACTCACGATTCCTTTAATAGTCATTCATAAATTATTAATACAATATTTTGATTTTTTTTGTTTTTTTTGTTTGTGCAAAACTAGATTATTCTGTTAATGATAAAACCTTATTGTACGGATACCGAAGAAGTAGTATGTTCTTATTCACTGACACAATATATCCTAATAAATTGGCACGATAATACCCAAATAATCGTCGATTTTTATAAATGGCAGAAAGAAAAAGTTAAAAAATCGCAAATACGTATGAAAAATCGTTTAAAAAAAAATAATAAAGAAAAAGTAATCAGTAAAGAAACAATAAACGAGTATATTGAACATCGTTATCAAGGTCTCGGAGGCTGCTATAAACAAATTGCAGAATATAGTGATTTAAATTTTTATTTAAATAAAAATCATTCGAATCAATATGAAATAAAATGCGATTTTATTGGTCCACCGTTGCCACATAAACCAGAAGTAAAAATATGCAAACATATTGGTGAATATTTCTTGCAATTTGGAATTCGTGTGTACCGCCAATTTCTTAGTTATTTAATTCCGCAACTTTCTAAACCTAAAGAAGCAAAGCCGAAAAAAAATAAAAAAGCCAAGAAAGAAAAACGAGACACTAGTGAAAAAAAAAATATCAAAGAAAAAACCGGCTTAGTCAGATTGAATAAAAAATTACGAAAGATTGTAAAGCCCCTTAAAGGACCGGCTATGCGTATTGCAGCAGGAATGATCAGTGGGTACTATAAATTGAGATGCCATTCGCTTATGCCTCACTATGATACATTTAATAAGTTTTATTTAAAAAATCATAATAACGGAACAAAGAACTACTTGGAAGATGCTAAATGTGACTTTTTCATACGGTTAAAGACAAAAGAACATCACGATAATTCTAAGTATACTCCTCTTTTTAATCAAGATCAAACCGAAGTAATAACTGATAACTAGTTATGTCGGTAGTTCAGTTGATAAAGTTTGTTTGATATGAGATAAATCTACCTACATCTAATTCCTAAAAGGCTTTATTTATTTTATTCGCACAATAATAATTAAAAACATACATTTTATGTACCTACTAAAATATTTTATACATATTTTTCCTATTTTTAACTATTTATCCTAACTAAAAAATTATCTGAAAATTACATCTTTAAGTCAAATGTTTAACCTTTCCAAAATATGTTTTAAAAAAAATAATTAATTATTACTTGTTTTACATGTACGTAAATGTATAATTTGTATAAACCACGGGTATTTAATATCATGATAAATATTGTTTATATTGTTTAAATAACTGTCACCTCTGTGTTTCCATGCCATTCAATTAAAAATAAATTTGTTTAAGAAAACTAATACATATTATTATGTTTACGTCAGTGATGATAAGTTCCCATATAAATCGCTATATTATACATATTATTATGTATTACATGGTTTCAGCATTAATATTAATATTAATATTATAGTTACCTATCTGTACCTGTATAAATTCAACTTTTTATTCTTAAATTTGCATAAACACCAGTTACTTTGTTATTGAAAGTCTGCTTCGCCGTGTTTTAGTGCAGAATATTTCGTTTTATACTTTCTTTAGCTTTGAAAAGCACGTACAATACTATATCTCTGGATATTAAACATATTAAATGCAGCCAATACAGGGCTTATTCTAAGGATTTTTGTCAACTACGCGTTTGATATAATTCAACTTTACCTAAAAGAAATACGAAATCGTATAACCACGATCTCAAAATATCAAATTATAGATAAAAATGGTAACATCTTTTGTATAATATTTTTAATTTTAAGTTTTAAAATTTAATTTTTAACCTATAAATTAGAAATGAAATAATAAATATATATGTTTAAAATATATTATATTAATTTATAATATTATCTTTACTTTTTCATAATATTAAATTTGTATACATAACACATTTTTAGAACATTCTTTTTTTAGTTTGCTCGTCTTCATATTGTCTTATTGTCGGTCCCATAAAAATTGATTTAACCTTAGGTATCTGTATTGCTGATTTGGGTCCGATTTTTAAGAGTTGGAATGATAAAGTGAATAAAAACATATTAATTTTCAGTTTCTAGATGTAAATTAGCTGATTAATTAATTTAAGAATATTGCTTCAGCGCTAATGAGTTTTGTAGCTATAATACAAGCAAGTAAAATACTATTATTTTTAAACTCGATGGACTCGATTAACCTAAAACGTAATAAAATAAAAACAAATTTATATGATACACGATTAATATTGACAGTAATTTTAAGATACATCAGAGTACTAAGTTAAATAGGTTAAACATGTAATACCTTATTGTTCACCGCAGGTAATTACTATTTAATAAAAATAGTATTTCTTTTAGTTTTTATTAATATACTGGTTGTCCCGCGCCCGGCGTTGCCTGTGCCAATTTTTATTATTATTATTTTACTCATATTCATTTTTGGTTTTGGCCGTGTTAGAATCGAATGAAAACAAATAGGTGGAAATTGGGTAGTCCACCTGCGGCGGCCTAAATGTGTTCTATTGTGATATTTCAATAGTGTAAATAATAGTGATAATAAAAATTATAATAGTTTTATTTTATAATGTGTCGGTGACTCGTTGACGGGCCAGTCTTTGTCTCAATGCATTAGCTCGACGGCGTTCATTGCGTTGCTATTGACTTTCATTAGTACGTGTGATTGCAGTCTGGTTTCCTAAATTTTCATTGTCCGTCAATCGATATTCTGCCGATCTATTTAACCGACGGTTCTGGACTAATTGTGAATTCCGAGTCCGTCGTCCAATATTTCCTCCTCGTCCACGAAGACGTGGCATTGTTTTATGTACGTAACTTTTTAGAAAAATTGATGTTATTTCAAAATAAAGAATAATGAAATTATTATATTATTTGTTTTTCATTTCATACTTTGTTTAATATCCTAATCGCTTGAAATATCAAAAAAACGAAATCCTATGTAACTGTCGTAACTTAATTTAATGTACGTAAATTAGTGCTCAATATTTACGCAAATGCGATATGAATGAATACATACACAAAATGAATGAATGTATTATAAATCAATTAAATTTTTAAGTGTAAATAATTAATCAGTAATTAAATACAATTTTGATGAATAAAATATTTTTTTTTTTGAAGGGGGTCGCAGTACACAAAAATAAAAAATTTGGGTCGCGATCCAAAAAAGGTTGAAAACCACTGGTATAGTACAACTATTCAAAACAAGATCGCATAATTCCAGTATAATAGATAACTTACTATACGAAATCTACAAATGTTACCAGTTATAAATGGTCTCAAAATACAATTTTGTGGGACAAAATTGGGATGATATACTAGCCAAGTTAAGTTAAATTATTTGTATTAAATTAGCGTACTTCCTCAAATACAAACAATTATAAACAATTTATATACAAATGAATTTAAGAAATTACTTAGCCCTTTTTTGATATCACAATTTTTCTAACTTGAGTTTTTTTTCTTAGCGATGTTTTTACACGTAATTAACGGAGGGTTTTTGTTGGGATTACAGTTATAACTACTGATTTATAATAAAAAATTAAAATCTTATTTTTTTTTTCAATTTATTTTGTAACCGTGGTAATGAGTTTAAACATTATACACCTATATAATTTTTTTTAAAAAAAGAAGAAAAATGTATGTTTCCTTTAAAACAAACTGCTTTGTAACTCTAGCTGATGTGAAATAATGTAGATTTATAAAAATTACCTATACATTGAATTGGACATCTTCGCTTCGAACATAAAAAAAAAAACAAAAGTAACATTCTTTTTTGAATAATAATATTTACACTGTATTCGAAAAATGTGAACATTTTTTCATAATAATTGTATTTTTTGTTGCTATTTTAATATGACATATATTTTTTCTAAATTCAGATTATAAATTTAAACGCTTTTGTACATTTTTCGTTATTTTCTGTTTTACGGTTTTCCTGATTGGTGTACTGATCAGATTTGATGAAGGGAAATTGACATTGGAAATAAGTTATACGGTTTTAATTACTTGAACTTTGTAAAAAATATATATATATTCTCAATTCGTACCTACCTATAATAAACCTACACCGAAATGATACTTGCTATTTTTGTTATTAGATTAATTTAAAAAGGAAAATCAATAACAGACAATAAATATTATAAATTCGCTCTGTATTTTGTGTGAATAAATGAATTGAAGATGTCAAAGACAGAATTGACCATATTTGACTCTACTTGCAAACCAAGAGTCCTAGAAGGAAAAATCAGCCTATGTCTGAATCGTGGCTACCAGGGTACCCCAAAGGTAAAGTCTAGCAAAAATGTTCCGACCAAACAAATGGGCTTGTTTGGTACGTGTTTTCCGTTTTGCATCATGATGCATTTTAGACATCTGAAGCGCCACTCTGCTGTGATCAAGTGCAAGAGGTGTCAGACTGTTCTTAGCAAAATTAAATACAGAAAGAAATGGTGGCAAATTTAGTGTGGACCATAAATAAATAAGTAGGCTCAATTTCGAACTTTGGTGTTAAATTAAGACATGGTTAAAAATTATAAAAATAAAAATGATTTTAACTCAAAGACTTGTAGACACTTTTTACAGTAGGTATCTAATTTTTTTAATTTCAACATATTTGTTAGGAAATTTGGGCGTAATTTGACTGCTTTGACACAGATCTGAAGTCAAATTCTGCATATATTATAATCTACATACGCCCCTTGTACTACAGTTATACAGTGAAGCTATTTTAGTATTTATATAGATAAATGATTATAACACGTTTATTTAAAAGTACAACTATACATTTAAAATACAAATTCTTCAAACGAGGAGTTGAGTTCAGACAAATTAGGAATAAACTGCCTTAAGTTTTCTTATGTTAACAATACCTGCTGCAACGATCTTACTGTACCAAAAAAAGGTCCTTGCTTATTTTATACATTTTTAAATGATCCAGCTTCCCAGATTTAAATGACTTGAATACAAGTGTAAGATAGATTGTTGATACACAATAAATCCCAGAAATAAAAGAACTTATAAGTTTTTGTTCCTTTTACTTTGTCATTTTTAAGAAAATACGTATGTTAAGGTAATGCTTTAAAGTATAAACCAGTTTCATCAGCATTAAACACATCAGAAGGTGAATATTTGGAGATCAGAGATGGCCATTCATTTTCTAACCAAAAATGTGCGCCAGCTAAATCTGCGTCACCTTGTTTTTCGTGTGTTTTTTTGGAAAGAAATATTTTCTTTTTTTTTCTACCGATGGAACCACCCATCTGTTGCCATAAAATTAACTTTCCTCATTTTTCCTGCCAGTTCTCAGCTTGTTGGCGAAGCAATGGGACACACGAGCATCTTTATTTTTAACTTTTACAAACCATTCTTTCTAAGCGCGTTCAACAGTATCATCCTTTCCACACCTATTCCTTTTTCGACTTTGGGACTCATTTTTTAATGCTTCACATTCAATGTCTTCCCTATTTTTGAATATTCTACCCAATACCGATTGTGAAAGGTTTAGCTTACTTGCTGCTTCACCTTGTCTCATCTTGGGAAGATAATCGTACTTTTCTAAAATGTCTATTTTGTCACTCAAACTAAGACCACGTCGAGTATTAACACTCATGTTAACAACAAAAAAAGAACGTTGAAACTCGAATGACGACTGATTGACGATTGTAGATTGAAACGATTATACAGTCGACCTTATCAATTACGATATCTGTGCCGAGTAATTGGGAATATACAATCGTATTTATAACTTATACAGTAACTACGATAAATGTGAAATGCGATAAAATTTGTTGATACACACATTATTAAGCATGAATCGAAATCAGTAATAATCTACAAAAATATGTAATTGTTAAAAACCAATTTATTTTAAAATTTCAACCAAAAATTTTCATTTTCTACTATTTTTTGTTACAAAATGTAAGTCTTATAAACGAAGTGGTAAGTCTTATAACAGAATTTTGTATAATGTATTTGGATACGTCCGGTCCGTTCCAGACGAATTTGAGTCTATTAAGCGACTGAACCTTATATCGGTGAGTCTTATAAGCGGCGTCCACTGTACCTATTTCTTATGAATTCTAGTAATGGATGAAATAAGTTTGTATGGCATTTCTACGAAAGCTGGTTGTCAAGCTCAACAGGATCATCAATATGCTTTAACGAAATATGTTGTGAATGTTTATTTGAACACAATGATGAAATTCGTAAGCAGAAAACACAAACAAGAAGTTTAAAAAAAAAAAAAAAAATGAGAAACAAGTCTAAGTCCAAGTAAAATACAACATGATTATCTTGTATATTTTAATTGTAGGTACAAAGTAATAAACACTATACAATATATTTGTTGTTTGAGTTTATTACTATAGTACGAACAGAGAAACTAGAAGGATGGCTGTCACGAGTTTAACAGCAGATTTTCGTAGTCATTGATTCTCAGTTCTCAGCTGTTAAACTAAAATTTATGGGAACCCTATACTAAAGATGGAATTTTTTTTCGTACACATGCATATAACAATATTGTTTACTCACATAAATTGCGCGTTTTTCAATGCACAATTGGCACTTGTTTCATATTCCATTGAACAAACTTAATACTCGTAAAAGCACCGAAGAAAACTTACCACTAGTTTTACTAGGGTCCTAGTTTTGATGACCGCTTTATAAGTATATTAGATATATTCAAATTTAAAATGAAAACAAATTCAATAAATACTCGTACATTTCTTTATAATTCACAGATAGACAGCAGCTACACACGTAAATATAAATGTATCTATAATTGTAATTATTTAAAAATTAATTAAGAATTTCTATAATTTAAAATATTACATGTGTTCAAGCATTTATATTTATACCACATTTCTTAATAACAATATAATATTCTTATCGCTTATAATAAAACACACGTTATCGCTTGAATTGCATTGAAAATTAATAATTATTGTTAATATAATAGATAACCATTATTTCTTGTGTTGAGTTCTAGTACCTGTATTAGCATATTTAGGACGTAACACAATTTCTAACACATTTATTTTGGGAACATCTCCAGGGCTATTGTCACTACAAAATGTTCCAGAACCTTCACACTTCTCTCCATCAGTGCCTTGTTTTGGACTAGAAACTTCATTCTTAGCTAAAATATTAAATAAAAAAGAAACATTATAGGTTTTTTTTTTATACTCGTATCAGGTTTTTTTTTTATACTCGTATCATATAAAAATGGTACAAAGTTTTATTCTTAATATATAGAAAGTTTTATTCTTAATATATAGTAATTNTAACACAATTTCTAACACATTTAATTTGGGAACATCTCCAGGGCTATTGTCACTACAAAATGTTCCAGAACCTTCACACTTCTCTCCATCAGTGCCTTGTTTTGGACTAGAAACTTCATTCTTAGCTAAAATATTAAATAAAAAAGACACGTTATAGGTTTTTTTTTTATACTGGTATCATATAAAAATGGTACAAAGTTTTATTCTTAAAATATAGTAAATTTTCTATGATAATGATTTAAAAATGTATTAAGAATTTGCTTATTTCAAAATATCACATGTGTTCAAACATTTATATTTATACCACATTTCTTAATAACAATATAATATGCTTATCGCTTATAATAGAACATAATGATTTCTTGAATTGCAATAAAAATTAATTAGTATTGTTAATATGATCGATAACCTTTCTTTTCTTGTGTTGAGTTCTAGTACCTGTATTAGCATATTTAGGACGTAACACAATTTCTAACACATTTAATTTGGGAACATCTCCAGGGCTATTGTCACTACAAAATGTTCCAGAACCTTCACACTTCTCTCCATCAGTGCCTTGTTTTGGAATAGAAACTTCATTCTTAGCTAAAATATTAAATAAAAAAGAAACATTATATGTTTTTTTTTTATACTCGTATCATATAAAAATGGTACAAAGTTTTATTCTTAATATATAGTAATTTTTCTATGATAATGATTTAAAAATGTATTAAGAATTTGCTTATTTCAAAATAT